ATCTGACTCCAACACGGCTTTCGAGCTGAACCTATTTTATAGTCTATCCTTATCTAATTTAGATATTAATTTAATATTAATTATTAAATTTACATTGTTTAGGAACACAAATAATTACGGGATGTTGATTATCTGCAGGTGATTTTATTGAGAGCTCTGGATTCAGGGTACAGAACCAAATCTGACTCCCACATGGCTTTCAAGCTGAACCTATTTTATATTTTATCATTATATAACTTTGATATTAATTAGCATATTAATTATTAAATTTATATTGTTCAGGAACACAAATAATCACAGGATGTGATTATCTGCAGGTGCTTTCATTGAGAGCTCTGCTATCGAGGTGCAAAAGCAAATCTGACTCTGACATGGCTTTCGACCTGAACCTATTTTATATTCTATCCTTATATAACTTACATATTAATTATTAAACTTATATTGTTCTGTTGTATACATTGACATGAGTTTCTCGTGATCTTTCTTAGGTCACTGACCACAGTTTCTCATGATTATTATTCTTACATGTAACTCACATATTAATTGTTAAACTTATATTGTTCTATCATATTCATTGACATGAGTTTCTCGTGATCTTTCTCAGGTCACTGACCAGAGTTTCTCATGATTATTCTTATGATTAACAGTACTTATATTTAATTACTAACCAATCATCACATCTAACAATTATATCACTTATGATGTACCAGCTACATGGTGCAGTTCTATCAAGCACGAGTTCTCCATGTGCTTAGCGTGTTTATTTTTCCAGGGCCTACAGAGCTGATTTTTCCTTTTAACCCGAAATCCCCGTGATTTTAAAACCCTTTTACCATCACCTCCACGATGGGAGGGGAAGAAGTGCTTTGAGCAAACGAAGCCAGAGTGGGTTCCAGTGATGATGCAGGAGGCGTGTCCTGTGTGGATTACTGAGCAGCAGGGCTGCCTCTGCCTGCCCTGGGCTCTGCGGCTGCGGGGGATTCGTCCCCCAAAACGCCAGAGCTCGTTTTGCTCGTGTGTGCTGACTCTCAGTTCCTCGGATGGAAAACGCTGAGATCCCGAGTGCCTCACGGCAGTGCTGTGGGAGCACTCCGGTGCTGAGAGCTCGATCCTCCCAGGTGTTCTGGCTTGTTGTTAGTCACTTTTGGGGTGCAGCGAATAAAAAGCGTTTGTCTCCCTGCCTCAGGCTTTGGCAGAACAGTTGACAGACGAAGAGCTCGCCCAAGGAAGACTTTATCCTCCGCTGTCCAATATCAGGGAAGTTTCTATTTATATTGCTGTCAAGGTGAGTATGAAATATTAAATTGCACTGCTCCAGAAGTGGTTTATGTGTGCATTAACCTGCTGACTTGCACAGTGTGACCCTTGAATAGGCAACACCCGGTTCTTTGTGCCTGCAACAAGAGAAGCGTCTAAAAACCTGCCCTTTGTTGTGTGCTCCAGCTTGGCAGCCACGATGGGCCAAAATTACACCCCTCAGATTCCTGAAACTGAGTTCTGAGACCCCATCCGAGCCGTGTGGGGATATAAAGGCATGGAGGTGCTGAGGAGACAAAGGACTCTGCAGAGTCAATCTGAATCAAGCAGAAGCCGTTTATTGTGCTTCGAGGCATTGTTTATATTTACTTCTTATTTTGGTCTGCATGGTCACACATTGTTTGATTGGTACCTCTGCTCTGTCCGTGTGTCCCTGACTGGTGGCTGTGCTCTGTCCGTGTGTCCCTGACTGGTGTCTCTGCTCTGTCCGTGTGTCCCTGACTAGTGGCTGTGCTCTGCCCGCGAGGCAAGCACACATCTCTCCATTACTCTGACTGCTAGATGCTGTGAGGGTCATTCACTCGGGCTGACACCCCTTTGCCGGCCAGCAGCTTTTCTGCTGCTTCTTTCTCCTGCCAAGTCAGCTGTCGTGTCCCGAGGATGGCAGATCCCCAGAGCCAGAGTTCAGCGTTCTCCTGAGCGCGGTGCGGCGACACGCAGCTGTGCAGAAGGCAAAAGGCTTTGTGAATCTGCAGTTAGAAAGTTCTTTTCCTTTTCCTTTTCCTTTTCCTTTTCCTTTTCCTTTTCCTTTTCCTTTTCTCTTTTCTCCTTTCTCTTTTCTCTCCTTTCTCTTTTCTCTCCTTTCCTTTCCTTTCCTTTCCTTTCCTTTCCTTTCCTTTCCTTTCCTTTCCTTTCCTTTCCTTTCCTTTCCTTTCCTTTCCTTTCCTTTCCTT